AATGGATTAAATGCTCCAATCAAAAGACATAGGGTGGCTAAATGGATAAGAAAATAAGACCCTTATCTATGCTGCCTATAAGAGACTCACTTCAGAAAGTAAAGAGATGGAAAAAGATATTTCATGAAAATGGAAACAAACAAAAGCTGAACTAGCAATACTTATACCAGACAAACTAAACTTTAAAACAAAGTCTACAACAAATGACAAAGAAGGACCTAGTAATCCTACTTCTGGGTATTTATCCAAAGAAACCCAAAGCACTTCTACAAAAAGACATATGCATCCGTGTGCTCATTGCAGCATTATTTCCAATAGCCAAGATATGGAAACAACCTAAGTGTCCACCAATAGATGAATGGATAAAGAAGAAGTGGTATGTATATACAGTGGAACATTACTCAGCCATAAAAAAGAATAAAATCTTGTCATCTGTAGCAACATGGATGGACCTAGAGGGTTTTGTGCTGAGTGGAGAAGTCAGACAGAGAAAGACAAATGCCATATGATTTCACTTGTATGTGGAATCTAAAGGACAAAACAAACAAAACATACATAAGTTCACAGATACAGAGAACAATTTGATTGTTGCCAGCTGGGAGACAGGTTGGGAAGGTGGGTGAAAAGTGGGGAGGGATTAAGAAGTACAAATTGGTAGTTACAAAATAGTCATGGGGATGTAAAGTATAGCAAAAGGAATATAGTCAATAATGTTGTAATAGCTTTGTATGGTATCAGATGGGTACTAGGTNGACTCTTTGAATCAACTTACAGCCTACTATCCAGAAAGGAGAGCCCACCACCAGATCCACCACATTTTGCGTATGCATGAACATTCCAGACTGTTCCCTACAACCAATCCAGAAGCATCAAATACTTCTTCCTCATGGACTATTCACCTATCCCAGAACTTCCCCACTTCACAGTTTCCCACCCACCCACCCATCCACTTCCCTTATCTATACCCAATGTAAATTCTTTCCAAACAACTTACATCTTTCTTCCCCAAACTCATTGTATAAAATAGTTCCATTCATCTCAGAATGGGGCACATGTTTGTCTTCTCCATCTAGCCCTGATGCTGGTGGATTAGACTGCATGACCCAGGACCCGATCCTTTTTCTGGCTAGCATATGGCTCAATAAACCCTTTCTTTCAGGACAACTTTAACAGCATGGTATAATTACATTTCTATTATTACTGTTGCCATTTGTTGATAATGATTACTACTACTACTCCTTTACTGGCAGAAGTAAGTCATAATATTAGTTCTTTCAGAAGTTTCAATAATATACCTCTGCAGACTTCTGAAGGTTATCATGGCATGGAGCAAAAAGCGATGTCTTCTCCCATTTCTGTGCAACTTGATTGGCTTCTTCTATCTTCTGCTCACAACTTTTTTGAGAATTTAGCAATGTCACTTCATAAAATTCTTGAATATCTGTGAAAAAAAATAAAGGAAGAATAAAAATGTCATGTTCCATCTCATAGACAGCTTCTGCATGCTTGTGTATAAGGAAAATGTTACTGATTAAAAGAACTGCATAAATATGTATCCCAAGGAAAGACAGCAAACATAGAGGGAATCCTGAAAATTGAATTTTCGCCTGCATGAGAATTCCTTTTGCAGCTTTATTCATAACTACAAAAACTGGGAGCAAGCAAGATGCCCTGCAATTGTTGAATGGATAAACGCATTGTAGTAAATCCATATCGTGGAATGCTATTCAGCAATAAGAAGGAATGAGCTATCAAGACATCCAAAAACATGGATGAATCATAAACGCATATTGCTAAGCTAAAAAGCTACATTTTTCATTGTATGATTCCATTTCTATAATATTAATATTTTGGAAAAATTGAAACTAAGTACAATATCAGTGATTGCTGGAGGCTCTGGGACAAGGGAGGAAGATTGAACAGATAAAGCACAGGGTGATTAAAATATTCTGTGATGATNATATTCATAACAGGACTCACTTGTATAATGTGAAGAATCATGTCCTTCCCATGCCCTATTTTATCATTTGTCAAAATCTGTATATTCACATACAAATATTGTATACAAAGTGACAAAGAAAAATGCTGAAATGTCCTAAATTAAATTATAGCAAGGTGGAGAGTGGGAGCAAAACACAAGGGAAGTTAATAAGTTAAAACTCATTGGCCAAAACCAATAAAAGACTATTCACGAAGATCTGGTCAAAATAGAGAAATAGGTAAACAGTGCTTACTTCCTCTCACAACCACATCAAAATTACAACTAAACTACAGCACAATCATCATTGAGAATCCCCTGAAGTCTAGCTGAGCCAAAGCCCTACAATGAAGGACATACAGAATAAGCCACTTTGACAATGGTAATGCGGACAGAGATACGGAATGGGCTGGTCCCACACCCATATGTGATGATTATAAAATCAAGAGGGACATCTTGGCTGTGGAGTTAACCCCCCCCCCCGAGGAGCAAGGGGACCTAGCCTCACACCACGGTCCCCAGCCCAGGGCTCCAATACCAGGAAAAGAAGTCCCCATAGCTTCTGGCTGTGAAAACCAGCAGAGATTGTAGCTGAGTGAGGCAGAGGGCAGATGGTGCTACTCTTAAAGGGCTCATGCAAAGACTTACTTGCTGATAGACTCACTCATTTTGAATTTCAACATTGGGGCAGCAGATCAAAAGGCGCCAGGGACATATAGGGAGGAACTGGGTTGTCTGGCTTCAGGGCAAAGGCTGGAAGAGCAGCTTTCTCCCAGAGGGAGGAGCTGGCAGAAGCCATTGTTTCTTTGTTGAGCCCTCCTCCATCTGAGCGTGAAGAAGTAGGCAGCTATCACATCTGAGGTTCCATTAACTTGGGTAACACCATTCACTCTCCCTGAATCCTTGAGACCCTGCCCTACCCAACCTATGGGCATACCCAAGCTGCTTCCAGTGGCTTTTCTGTATGAACAGCCTGTCTTGGCTCATGCTGCAGACTTTCCAAAGATATATCAAAGGTGCACAAATCCCAAACAAGCAACATCTGGCTTTGGCATGTCTTATACCTCTGTCTGAATAGCCCTAAGCCCGGCACTAGTGCAGCTGGCCTTGGTTGAGGGCTTGGCCTCTCGAGACAAAGCCCAGCATGAGTAGTGACCATCTGTAGATTGCTTTATGACTCAAGCCAGGTGGCCCAGGATGGGCACAGGCTGCAGCTGAACTTGGCCTGCAGCAGGTCCCCTCTCAAGAGACCCTGGGGCTAGCACACCTGGTGGCCACCTTCAGACTGAGCTAGAGCATCACCTGGCTGCCTCCAAGGGTGATACACCCAAAGAGCAGATTCAGCAGGCACCAGAGCCCTGCTAAAGTAAATCCTGCTCTGTAGGGCTAGCCCCTGCACAACAGCTCCTCCACTGCAGTCACAGCCAGTCCTCACAACCAATCAGCCCAAGGGTCACCCCTCCCATTGACATGCGAAGAGCAACCAAGGCTGAAGNCCTTTAAAGAGCTTACATGTCCTTCCCGGCTGCTTTAAATAAACTCAGTTTGTTCAAAGGAGAGGACACGAGGTGACAATTAAAAAAACATAACAAGCATTTGCACTACATTATCAGAATTTACCCAGGCTGTTGTCCCTTATTCTAAGTTTATCTGGTTATGAATTTCATTTTAGCTCCATTTCTCAATTACTGTTCTTCACATAGATTTAGTAACAATTTAATTTGGACTCACTTTTCAAACTTTGACCTTGGAAAGCCAACCCCCACAGGACAAGATCCTAAGTTGTCCTAGCCCAATACACTGAGACCCCAAATAAAAGATACTTTTCCCCTCTGCCTACCTTCATCTTCAATAACAAAAAACAGCCAGACCTGTCTCTTTGCCTCATATAGCCCATTAAGGAAAAGCGATCAGACTCACTTCAAAAGCACACCAATTGGAGTTGGCATGCATCCATGCTCTGATGTTTTAGATATAACTGGCCAATATGCAAATTGCCATAGGCTGAGGACTTCCTAGATAAGAGATTTTAAGATGCACAGAATAGAGTTTTTAAAAACCCTAGAATTGCATATGGGAAAGCCCACATTACATTAACTCTGTTTTGCCTATTCTGTTTCTGACATTGAAAAATAAATGTCTAAAACCCTGGTGGATTTTTTTTATCATTCATCCTTATATTGTTGGCATTTGTTCATAAACCAATTAAAAATCCTGGCAAAAAATAAGCAGAGCAGCAACACCTAAGACTGGTATGGATATGAGGTAAAAATGCACCGACATGCATGGTCAGTGGAAATGCAACAGGTGTAATCAGGCTGGCAACACGTATTCACATTAAAAGACTGCATACCTTTGAAGCCAATAATGTTACCCCTGAAAATCTATCCAATAGAATAAAAGCATCAGTAAATTCAGATGTATATGCAATCATTAGATTGTAGCATTAATCATAATGGCAGAAAACTGGAAACAGAAACAAATCAAAGCTATATCAGACAACTTGAAGAAATGTTCTTCAAAAATATGAACATTTTTGAGAAACAATTGCTTTTCAAAATTGTGTGTACACACACACACACACACACACACACACACACACACACACACACTCCAGTGTGGAGATATATAATATATAATCTATATATAATATAGAAATAATATATATCAGTATATATATTATTTATATATCTCCCATGTAGATGTATGAGTATAGTTTATATATAATGCACATTATATGAGTGCAGAAGGATTAAACACATTAAGTTGATTAAGTTAAGATGGGTTGCCTTATATGTGAGGAGGGTAGAGTTAATGCAGCATAGGTAGGGAGTGAATAAAAGGGAAGACATGCAAAAATGGATCTTTTTTTAAATTGCATTTAGAATAAAAAAGTATATGTTTGATCATTTATATAAGATTAGGTATATGTGTGGGACTATGCATCTAGAAATTGACTAAAAACAATTTTTGAAAATTCAAAAAGAGCAAATATCAAAGTAATAAGAGCTTAGAAAAAACATAGGAGAATAGTTAACTAATCTTGGATTAAGGAAGAACAAAGTAAAGAAAAATGAATAAAAGAG